ATTTTAAAGGCCTTGACTTACAAACATCGCCATATTATGATACACGTATATAAATCGGTAGTTCGTGCAGGGTTTCACAACAAGGCGGTGACACGCCATTTTCCGTTCTGAAATTTCTTTCTTTCTCACACTCGCGGTGAATGCAGATTTTTAATAGTGCAGGAAACGCGAGAATTATGTCCACTTATTGGCATAAAAATGTCTCGAAGTTCTTTGTAAATTGTTGTCCTCAGTTGGCAACAATCTGTTGGCAATCCGGTACGGTTATAAAATATTTAATGAACAACCTTTGTATTTGTTGCCAATTTTTGTCGTCAACTGCAGTAGTTCATGACGTAATTAAAGAAGCTTATTGTACGGGTATATCTCTCATTATGGTAGCTGTACTAAAGGACGAGCATTCTTAAACAACTTTAAAAGTGTAGGTACTTATAATTTATAAAATAATCAGAATGCACATGCGAGAATGAAAGAGCTGATCTAAAGAAATAACTAACAGACTGAATTATTTATCAAATTGTAGGTCCAATACAATCGCCTTTAAAAAAATATAACCGTCATTCTTATTGTTTAGAAGACAGTAGGAAGGCTTCTATTTTCTCCTATTATCCGTTCACAAATTGTTGATAGCACGAAATGTGCCTCAAAGTCATAAAGCTGTGGTTAAATTTGTATCATCATAGGCGTTCCTGAGGTGTTTATTCATTAAAATTAATATTAATATTAATAATGTTTTAATACTAATATATTTAGCAAAAAACAATTAAAACTTTCACGGCTCATGTTGATTATTATATTATATTAATAAAAATAAGAATACCTTATCTCTTTGGATATTTCAATACTAATCGTTTCAATACTAATCACGTTTAATGACTTTACTAGAAAACCTGAAATTTATATCCGAAGGTACTATTCCCCAGATTTTTAATAATATAATGGGTATAGATGCCGGCTTTGGCCACGTGCCTCGTCTGTTCAGTTTATATTCGAAACTTAACTTGAAAGGGTGAAGGTATTACGAATGAAAACAATTTTTTTGTTTAGTACGTTTTTGATCGCATGTAATTTACGGCTCGTCGGTGTTTCCGCGTCTACGGCAGTAATTAGCGTCTGGAATATTTCTTTTGCGAATTATATGCAGTGCGTGAGTGATTTTTTATCCCATATAACTACGAACATATACGTACCTTTCGCTCGTGCTCGTTTTATTGGATTGTTTGTGATGGCTTCATCATCAACATCATCAAGTTTTACACCGGTACTGTTGCGTACAGTCAGTAAGTCTGTCTATTCACCAAGAAAGAAGACTATTGTCCTGAATGTTCACGATGCTCTGGTTTCTTAGAATTCCACAAACACTGTTCGCAACATAGTCGAAAGTTGTGCCAACATGACTGGCGTAGGGGAGTCAACTATATATAGGTTCCTATCAGAAAGAAAAAAACACGGTATAGCTAACTAAAACACAAACGAAGACTTAAAGAGATGTATTGAAATTGATGAATTTGCCAAAAATGGTATTCGAAGGAAAATACATGGATTTTTTTTTCAAAAAAGAAATACCAAACCTAAACAAAATTTTACAAAAAGTTTTAAAAGAATTAAATTTCCGGTGGGAGCAATCAGAACGAAAATCACTTTTGATTGACCGAGAGGAGAATCGTGGGTAAACTCAAGTCATACTCTAAAAAAAAATTTCGTCAGATAAAAATATATTAAGCTCCAGGCAAGCCTTTATGGAAGGTTGGTCTACTGGTATCTCCCCACCTTCTGGTAAAGGCAGTATATTAATAATTTCTTACATTGGCAGTGAAAAAGGATTTGTTAAGCATGGTTTGTTGGAGTTTCAGTCCAAAAGCACAAAAGACTATCACGAGGAGATGACAGCTGATGACAGCTGAAACCTTAGATTTCAAGTAGCCCCACAAAAAAATCTAATGATGTGAGATCCGGTGACGGAGCTGGCCCTTAAATCGAACCTTGTTGTCCAATCCATCATTCGTCATCAAGGTAACGTCTTACTGCAGCATAATAGTGTGCAGAAATACCATCTTGTTGAAAAGTTATTTCAAAATTTCCGAATTTATCTTGATTATCGTCCAGAATTTCAAGAATTAGCGGCTCAATTGCGTTTTGTAACATATCCAGATAAATGTTTCCCAAAATACCTGCCCAAACATTTACTTTTTCTGGAAATTGGACACACATAGGGATTTGTGTCACTCCAATACCACACATTGAATGTGTTACCATTTTCATTGAGGGAAAAAGTACTTTCGTCACTAAAATAAATTGTTTTTATCTGTAATCTGGCTGGTGGTTAATTTAATTATTTATGGACATATTTTTATAGAATTTTAGTGTTTGGTCTTATATAAAGACTCTATAGTTAGTTATGTCGAAATGGAAACTAAAAGAGATCCGCTTAGTAAAGCTAAATAAAGAAAAGCAATAAGGTGTATATTGTCGTGGCACCACAATTTTGTAAATTAAAACAATACAAATAATTTTTTATACAATTTTTTCTTCTTCTTTAAGTGCCATCTCCGTGACGAAGGTTGGCAATCATCATGGCTATTCTTACATTCGAGGTAGCTGCTCTGAACAATTGCCTTGAGCAGTAACCAAACCACTCTCTCAGGTTCTTCAACCAGGAAACGCGTCTTCTTCCTACGCTTCTCCTACCCTTTATTTTTCCTTGAATTATAAGTCTCAAGATGTTGAATCTTTCGCCTCTCATGACATGTCCGAGATATAGCAATTTCCTTTCTTTTATTGTATTTTCCATTTCTCTCTCTCTGCCTATTTTCTTGACACTTCTGCATTCGTGACTCTATCTACCCATGAAATCCTTAACAATCTTCTAAATGTCCACATTTCAAACGCGTTAAGTCGATTTATTGTATTCCGGTTTAATGTCCATGATTCAGCTCCATAGTAGAGTACACTGTGTACATAGCATTTAATTAGCCGTATTCTGAGGGCCAATGTCAGATCTTTGCTGCATAAAATCTTTTTCATTTTCACGAAGTTGGCACGTATTTACCGTATACAATTTTTTAAGATTTATAAATATCTAATTATAATATTTAGACAAGCTTCACGAAAAAGTAATGGTTTCAAGGATATTGTTCTTAATCCTGTTAATTTAAACGACGGCGGGAAACCTTAAAACTACCACAGTCTGCGAAATGAATTACATACATGATTCCGTCAATTTTAAACTTATAGCTTGTTTATTTGTTTTTCGTATTTGTATTATGCTTAAGACGGTTGCTAACGTAATAGATTTGATTTGTTGTAATTAAATTAAATATATGTAACAAACATACAAACAATTTTCAACGAAACCAGCTGATTTTCAACCAACGATTGAGCTTTGATGGAAAACATGTACTACACTAAGGAAAACACAGAGGCAATTTAACTGAGAATGGAGGCATCCATCCAATTGCAGGGAAACCTGCTCAAATTTACAACATGGACGAAAAAGGATGCCAGCTTACACTGTATCACCAACAAACTGTATTGGCTAGTAAAGGTGCTAAAAGGGTGCATATATAAGACAAAGCAGTCTTCAGGAGTTTTGAATCTTACTGGGATGAGGAGGTGTTAAATTATTGGGTGAACCATACTAACGAACGTACCATTAACCGAGCAAGATTTGGGCAAATATTTACGCCGGTTTGGAAAAACGCAATGACGCAAAAAAATATTTGTTCTGGATTTGATGCAACTGGAATATAGCCAGTCAATCCAAATAGTATTCCGCATGCTGCCTTTGCACCTAGTTGTCTGACATAACAAGAGATTGAAATAATCGCCGAAGATTTTTAAGAAAATCCTACAACCCAACCAGAAATTGAAATAACTGGCAATAAGAATACAAATTTCAAAGAACAGCTATCCTGCAGCGGTGTAAACAAAAATAATAAAAGCATTCTAGAGCAGTCAGAAAAGGAAAATTACCAAAAAAAAAAGAACTCACCAAAGTTTTTCAAACTTAATCTCAGATGAAGACAGTAACTCATCTGGGTCTTACACAAGTGGTTATAATCCAGCGAGGATTATAGTGATGCAGTTTACACGTCAAATAAATATGATAAAAATAAAGTTGCAAAAATAAGTGAGACAGAGCCATGTGAAGAATTAAATGCAAGTTTTATTTCCAGTTGTTTGCTGATTACACCGGAGTTAAAAGTATCAACAAACAAACGTCGGCAGGCCATTAATGCGAAAGCACAAGAAGTTACCAGAGATTTATTTAGTGCACAATCTCATAGCTCAGCAAAACTAAAACAGAATTTAAAAACAGATTCATGGTACTGTATCTTGTGTGATGAAGAGAGTGGCTGATATGCGCAAGTGTGTTTGTTGTAATAAGGATATCCACGAAGAATATATAGGATTAACAAAAAAACGACAAGGATATATTTGTATGTCCTCGATGTGTGTAAATGTGCGATATACATACTTAATGTATTGACAAATTTTTGTTTTTAATCTGAATAAACGTTTCTTTCACTAAACTTTGCATTTATTCTTTAATTCTTAGGTTTAAAATTTATTAGCCACGTAAATTTCCTTCAAAAATGAAACTGGCATTATTAAGTTACCAGTTCCAAATAAGGCCAAATATTCAAGATTTATTGAATGTTAAAATTTTATACTTCTTTATTTATTTATTAAGCATTTTATCGTAAAATTCGATAGCTAAAATGTTAGGCAATACGTATACAAGACTTTTCCCCCCATATTTTTGCTGAATAAAATGTTACAGACATTTAAACCTTAAAGTGGCCTTAATTGGCGTCCTTACCTTATTTAAGTCAAAATTGTAAAAAATGTGCTTACTATTAAAATTTTATACAAACAAATTGCGAATCAATTGAGAAGATCAACAGAAAAAAAACTAACAAAAAAGTCAAACATTGTTTCATTTCAGATAAAAAATATATTTGGTTACATGGAAAAGTTTATTTGTATGTTTGTTTTAGCCGAATAGTAAATTATACGAAAGCTTCAGTGTGTTTTGCCCCTGTGATCAATTAGAAAACATAAAACTATTGACAGACGAAGACATATTAATCGACTGGACTCAACCTATTTATCTGAACTTTACTCACGCCAAGATAATGGAAAAAATAGAGGAAATTTATAGCGAACAAGGGACGATGGAAAAGATGTATGGAGAAGTTTATGGGGTAAATAATGACGACACTTACAATGAGGAGGATGGTGTAAAGGCGTAAGTTCTTTTATACATTAGAATATTTTTATTTATATAGGTTTTGTTATGCCTCATTTTTATTTACAAAAAATCCGCTTTAACCTAATAAGCTTATTAGCGGAACGGTAACGATTAATTACACTTAACTTAATAAATCTTTTAAAAACAAAAGTAGTTTATCAATGGCAAGTAGATGGCAAACTAATGAATATAACTGAAACATCAACAGTAGAGGAGGTATAAAAACGTAGTCGTTAGCCTTAAAAAAGCTGCAGAATAAGCAGTCGGCTCTAACACTCAAAGACAAAGTGAAAAACTATGGTGGAACAAAGACATAGAAGCACTCGTAGAAGAGAAAAAGCAAGCGTATATCAGATAGCTGAGCAGTAAACAACAAAAATATAGAGAAAAATACCTGGAACTCAAAAGAATAACAATAAAAGCAAAAAGAGAAATGTGGGATAAAAAGTGCCGGGCAATTATTACCTACCTGGGAGGCAGAAAATGTACAGAAACGTGGAAGTTCCTCAGTAAAATAAGAACTAACGAAAGGAAGAGCACAAACATTCAATTAATATCAACACAAAAATTGGAAAAGTACTATGGGGAATTACTGACAGAAAATAGGGATGAATACTTAACTCAATCACCAATAGAGGTTAATATTGAAGGAGAAGATATAACAATACAAGTGACAGAAATTAGAAAAGCTATAAAAGGACTAAAAAACGGTAGGTCTCCAGGACCATTGGATATCCCAGCTGAACTAATAGAATGTGGATCACAAAAATTGTTTGAAACCGTCACTTGGTGCATAAATCAATTTATAAATGGTTCTCCCGTACCCGACGAGTGGAAAATTGCTTATATTTCGTCGATTCATAAAAAAGGAGATAAGTTTAAATGTGAAAACTATAGAGAGATATCAGTAACTAGTACATTCAGCCGTTTATATGGACGAATAATTAGAGACCGCATTGAGAAGGAATACAATGACCAAGAAGAAGAAGAACAATCCGGTTTTCGAACAGGAACAAGCTATACTGATAATATCTTCTGTCTCAAATAACTAATAGAAAAAAAATTAAGCACAAATCAAGAAATCCACTACATGTTTAATGACTTGCAGAAGGCGTACGATATAGTTCCTGTAAACAAACTCTGGAACATGTTACGACAGACGAATATTAGTGTCAGCTTAATAAAAGCCTGAAGAAATTTGTATGAAGGGTCAACATCACAAATAAAAACTGGAAACAGACTATCGCAAAGCTTCCTGGTTAATAAAGGTCTACGTCAGGGGTGTTGTGTATCACCGGCCTTGTTTAAAATATACGTTGCAAAGGCATTGAAAGAGTGGAAACGAAAATGCAGAGGCATGGGTGTAGACCTTGGACAGATTTGCTTGTATACATTACAGTTTGCTGATGACCAGATTGGTATAGCAAACGATAAAGATGATCTGGAGTACATGGAAAAGAAATTACAAGAAGAATATAGAAATTGGGGACTAGAAATTAATACAGAAAAAACAAAATACCTGATAAATAGGTACCGAACTATCGAACATCACATTAGAAAATAACAAAATCATCATGCCCTGCGACCATTACACATACCTAGGAATCGTTTTTGACACAACGGGGAAAGATGATGAGGAAATGAAGAGAAGAATAACACAATCCAGAAAAACAATAGGTTGTCTAAACAGCGTACTGTGGAGTCACGAAATAGGAAAAAGAAGAAAACACAATATCTACGAATCTCTTATTAAAAGCACTCTATTGTACGGAGCAGAAACTTGGCGATTAACCAAAAACAACAGAAGAAAACTGGTGGCAGTAGAAATGGACGCTTTTAGAAGATCAGTAGGAGTGTCACTCAGAGAGAGTACGTAATGATGAAATAAGACAGCGAATGGAGGTTGACGGCTCTCTAACAACAGACATAGATAGAAAACAGCTGATATGGTATGGACACGTCTGTATATTCATTGTTGTAATATATAATACAAATAATAAATATCCAAATTCAGCAATCAACAATTATTCTTTTTCTCTTTGTTCTTTAACATAGGGTAAATATCTTTTTTTGTAATTGTTTTGGCTTTGATAATGGAATTCCCAAACTTCATTATTTAATTATAAAAAATCATAAATGCAGCTAACATGAACAATATCTTTTAAAATTATCTTATATACAGTTAATTATAATTTTCAAGTCCTTATTTGCCATTTGCATCCAAATGCCCCCTTATTTCTTTTCTGCCGAAAAATACTAGCCGATTACAATTATCTTAATACGATGATAAGGGGTTCGACCTCTATTTTATTTAATAGAATTCTGTGGTAATACCTATTTTCACTTTGTTGTCAAGAGTATAAAATTTTTTTGGTGTTTAGATGTATACTCTTATCATAAAAAATCTAAAAATAATATATTTTCTTTCTTTAAAATGTCGAAATCTTTACTTGACATGACTTTATATTCATAACTGATTGTTGTATGTAGGGTTCTCGCAGAGGACGCGGAGATGATGCAGCTGTCGCCCGAGCATGCTCAAATGATTCATGACTTGTACCCGGCCAACCATATGGAATGTGTGGAAGTATTCGAAAAACTCATCAAAAAGCTACCTTGTTACGGAATATTTTCAACTACTGGAGATTTGGCCGCTTGGATGGTACAGTCTTACTACGGCGCCATGTTTTCAATGCAAACGCGACCTGAGTATAGGAGAAAGGGATATGGACTGATTCTTGCTAAGTACCTGACCAAACTGGTAAGCAATATTAGGTTATATTTTATTGAACATATTTGATAAATTACTCAAAGTAACCATAACTTATTCGTCGTCTTCCTGTTCTTTTTTTTTGAGCCTTTGCTGTATACGATAGAATTAGTTAATTACTTGGTTTCTAAAGAAAAAGGTAAACAGTACATTGGTGTGGAGAGTGGCGCAAAACTTTCAATTGATATACTTTTTATCTTAATCTAAAAATAATTAATTGCAAAAGAACTAACAAAATAATCAAGATAGGAAAATAATTCACTGGACCTGTTGCGCCGACAGTTTAGGCCGGAATTGTCGAAGAATATTCCAAAAATAGTACGCCATCATAGTAATGTCCCAACGTCCTTGATAGCGCTCCTCTATATAAAATCTTAGTGAAAAAAATCCTCCTGCTTAATAATATTCACATGGTTCAGCTCTACCCTCTTTCTGTAATCTATGCGGATTCTTTCAACAAGGAATAACTATGTGACTCGCATCTCAGGACTAACCCTGGATCAAAATAGGAATCCCTGGAACCTGAGGAAGAGAACAATAAGGAAACTAAAATTTATTAAAATTAAATGGCAAACATAAAAACTGATAAAGATACACTTAATTGCCAAAGACGATTCAAACACCCAAACATCCCCGTACCGACAAAATGCGGGGTACAGCTTGATTCGTTGAATTCGACATATTCCTTCAAGATCTTAAATCAGAAATTTTATACTATTTTTTTTCTCGTGACTATCAAATTTGTCAACCGTAGACACTCTCTTTTTCGCTGTAACCTCGGAAATCTTTTTTGGATGGTGCTAGAAAGATAACCAATGGAGACACTGCGGACGGCAGCCAGATGGTTGGTGGAGAGCGAGTCGTGGGTTCGAAACTAGCTTTTGGAACCGGGATTGAGTCCAACGGACGAAATAAGTAAAGATAGGATAAGAGATATTAGAAAAGATATAGAAATAAACAAGAAGATAAATGGGTAAAATTACCAAAGATAAGAGAAGATAGAAACAGGGCGCCACTTATTTTTTGGGGTTAAGGAGAAAATTAAGAAACCTTAGAAAAGAAAAGAGATAAGGAAAGATATCCTTCAGAGATCAGATATCAAACCCAAGGAAAGATACCAACAGTTAATTATCAAATTAATTTGGTCAACATAATATATAAACAAATAATAAATATATTAGGTATTACACTTACTTACCTACGAAACTTAATCAGCCTCATCTTTCTACTGGTCAAAGGTATAGTAATAAATTAATATATAATAATAAATATAAAAAACGGCAATCTACAGATAAAGATATGGATGAATGATGGGTGATACGTCCAGATAATGGCAGGTGATATGATACCATACCATATTACTCGCCCAGATAATTTGCAGATAAAGATTATGGTAACTTACATAATTCCTGATGACGGCAACTTAATTCACTGAATTTAATATACTGTACTGTTATTCAACACTGAATTTAATTAGGTACCATTAAAGGTAGTGTAGAATTATATATAACTTAATATAGTCTAAGACAAGAAAACTGAAATATAGAGTGTATACACACTTAGAAAATAATTCACAGAGACGATAATTTTAGGCAAGCGACCACACTCAACGAGAGGCCACCGAGAAGTCTCGCGAGATAATCGACCTGTGCTCAACGAGAGCCCACCGAGAAGTAGGTAAGTTGGTTCCACTAAAAATTTCACCAACTATTCAAGAAAAAAGAAGAAGAAGGTATATCCCCTACTTAAAATCATCGGACAGTTGTAGGTAATTCTGAGGAAGTAAAGATTCCGAAAGTTTTGAGTTAACAGTACCAACAATTGGACATGAGAAGCAGACAATACTTGGGATTAAGTTATTGTCAAAAGATACGGGCCTTCGGCGAAAATTATCAATTTATGTAAAAGAACCTGCATACCCAAAAGCATTAGATCTTTTCATACTGAGTATTAAGACGGAAAGGATTAACTACCTTTAGTAATTAGGGAAGTCCATTATAATTTAGTAGATCCAATATTATTTTCTTATCGTAAACACGGGAATTCCTAATCATCGGCGTATCGCACGGGGGTAAAAGAAATTAAAAATAATTAATATTTTAATAATAAAAAAAAATGTTACATCGCTTGTGTAAACAATTGGATTAAATATTTTTACTCGAAGAGACACAAAAGTGTTTTTCTTCGAAGATTTTTGAGACGCAATTCTTAAAAGCGGCAAAAAGGAACTTATGAGATTTACAGAGAAAACTTTTTAAAAATAATGACACGATTGTTTTTATTCGATGCAATTCTTAGATGCCTTCTCGTTCGAAGATCTTAAGTGTTTCTATTTCGAATTTTTGTAAGACACAAATTAAAACTTTGTACATAGTAGAAGAAAAAAGTGGCACAATATTTATCCTTGTTTTAAGATTCCTTAATAATTTCACTTCTTAGGATATTTCACGCTCAATTTTTACTGCTGCTAGCTGATTCTGTTATAATTTAGGCACTAATAAAATTATTGTTTTTGATGATTATAATTATGTTATGTATTTTTTTAGGTAAAAGAGCGTGGTTACATGCCATTCGTAGTGATCCGTCCTGAAAACGACGCCTCTAAGGGCCTCTATACGAAGTTAGGTTTCAAAAAGTACTTCGAGACGGTAAGAGCCATCTTACGGCCCCACGAGATGTCAAGCGATGCTCAGGGTGGAGGGACGACAAACGGTCACCATTAAATATTAAAACAATACCTAGAGATTCTAATTCGAAAAACTAAAAAATAAAATGAAACATTAGATTGCGACGCACATGTTTTGAGCTGAAGGCTTCTAACCACCGTTTTACATTTCCGATTCCAAGTTTTGAAAATAATTGGAAATTGTAACCACACCATTTATCGTTAAGTATATATTTACCAACAGGCAAACTGTTCTCTTTAGAATATCAACTATGTTAGGTTTCTAAGGCTTTGGTATATTATGTAAGAGGTTACCAAACGGAAGAGCATTTTAAAACAATTGTTAAGCGATTTATTATTTGATATTAAATAGAGAACTATCATAAACTATCTAAATAAATCTACAAATGACTTTTAGATGTTTGTTCATTGTTTAGATTAGCAATAAGGGTTATCGTTTTGTTTATATCTATTAGAGTAATTAAGCAGTAAGATAGAGAAATATTCTGTGACCGCAGTTATCAAAATGGTTTGTTAGGGAAATACATTGACTGAAAATTGAATCTAGATTTAAATCCTATTTTGTTAAGAAAAAATAGTTTTCTCATGGAAAAAAAGTAGGCTTAGTGGGTACTCCTTTAGAGGTTTCAATGCTATTTCAGAAAGTTTAACTTTGACGATGATAAATAACAATACAATAATAATTTCTTCACAACATTCCGATAGTAGAGGTCGAGATGAGTTAGAGAATACCGATTCCTACAAATTCCGATCCGACTTGCTGACCTCTATTTGATTTGACTCATTTCTATTCGATTTGTAGTTATAGAATAGGGCTGATCAAAACATCACTTTTTCTACTGGAATTTTTACCACTTCATTCATTTTTTTTTCTTTTTTTTTGGCAATACTGAACATATTTTATAGGTCACCAAGGTTGTTCTATTATATTTCTCAATGTCATAATTATTAATTCCTTATATTTTTTGTTCCTTCTATAGGCATAATTTTGTACTTGTCACTTGTCACTAGAAACCTAACGAGCCTCTATGGACTGCTGGAGTGATGACGTAGATTTTACGACATCTGTCAGTTTCACTTTCCAAAATTTCAATAAGCGAAAATTGCCAAAAGGCAACAAACTTGAATAAAATCGGAAGAAAATTTTGCCGAAAATAATTTTCTAGTATATCTAGTAATAAAAACAATTCATTCTCGAACGACGATGCAAATTGATGCAAACGATACAAACATCAAGGTTTGGAAATGTTTTTGACTGCAGGATACACACAGTATTTTTTCTGAAATCGCAAAACAACGTCAAACGCGTCAGTCGTATTTATTTCCCCAAACAGCCCTATATTTATATTCTCGACTTGGTTGAAAATATTATTTCTGTACTACTGTCTGAAAGTTGCTTAAAGTCTTGGCAGATTTCAGAAAATACATTCAAACGATCCCATTAACATTACACAGTCATTGACATCTGACGTTTTAACTGTCAAATTCTATCGAAAGCGCTTCTGCTTCTACAGGTAGGTATATTAATGTTGATAACCCTCATACCTAAAGCTTTTATTTTCGTTAAATAATAAACCGGGCCTTTTAACCTACTTAAGAAACAATCTAAATAGCAAATAAAAATATATATTGTGTTCTAATCCTACTAAAGAATTCAATATCTTGCCTATTGGTAAGTATAAAAAATAAAAGTTAAATGAAACATTTGTTGAATAGGCTGTTACAATTTCCATCAAGCTTCAAGTTCATCAACTTTAACATCAAGTTTTAGCTCAAATTCATTTACACTGCGATTCACTCCCATATATGAAATACATGAGATATTTGTTTTGTATTTAAAACTACTATTAAATCTGAATAATAATAATAATAATAAACTTGAATTGTTTATGTAATAATACATGTACTAGGAAACGAAGAAAACAATAAGACATACTATTTTCATTTACTAAAGGTTAAATCTACATATGGTCGGTCAGATAGCTCAGCGGGCTGTGCGGCTGCCTCTCATTCGCTTCACTGTCGAATGGTTCAGTGGATGTGGGATCGAGCCCCAGCTCGGTGTACAGAAAACAAAAAGTCTAACCCAGCAGTTTAAAATTCTAGATGAATCTGCGGCTTAGACTAGAATATGCTGGGATCTGATCGGCCTATGGTGGAGCAGTACGGCAAGAGATAAGGGCTTTTATTAGGACTAGATTTATATATATATATATATATATATATATATATATATATATATATATATATATATATATATAAATCTACATATGCCTATGTAGCCCCATTTTATTTAACTAACCTGCGTTAAACTCAGATTTAATATTTACTTAAGCTTAAACTGTGACTATAGTGACCGTGACCACTTTAGAGCAATAATTTTATATTTGATTATAATATACCATTATCTAAATAAATGACGGTTGCGTTTTGATATCGCTTTAAAATTTCCAGGATTTAGGGAATCATCGGATTCGTCGTGGTCACGGAAAGCCAGTTCCTGTTTCGCTAAAATACAAGTGAAAGAAACTAATTTTTTAATGATTTCTCTGTTCATTTTCTTCTGCGTTGTATCTAATTTTTGCGATTTTTGATTTTTTATCTAGCAAATCGCGAACAGAAAACGCCCTCTTCTGTACATCCTTAAAGGACAGGAAATTACTTAAAAGTTCCTTGCATCTGAAATGTTTTTTTAAAGAGGCAGACATATTTTTTAAATCAAAATATCCTTCACAATTCCATACACATTTCTTATTAGAAAATACCCAACACGGCCAACAATATAGTCTGTTTTTCGTAATACTTCCAGACAACCATTTATAGACATCATACCAAGAACAATTACAAGTACGCACTTTTTTCCCATCTTTTTGGTCAATACACAATGTTGGAGTAGTCCGTTCATTCATAATAATTTTTTTTCTGTCAACTTCAGTCTTTCTAGATAATGGCAATTCCAATAGTGAAACAATAATGTCCAAACACTCACCATCAACATTACTTTTACTGCAACATGGTAAAGGGTCAGAAAAACTCATTTTTAGTATCAGTTATAAAACGATCTTACTATTCCAAGAAAAATTTAAAAAAATCAACCTTGATCGGCCAAACAACTGGTGCAACTAAGTAATAACAGATAACGGTAACAGTGAAAATTGACCTAATGCTCAGCGACGGTGTTGCCATATATAAGTTGCATACAATCAGGAGATATAGAAATCATGCAAATGTGATTTTTTTTTTCGAATTTTGTAAAATTTATTTGGGCAACCGTGTACTTGTTTGCAATTTTGTTGTTTGTTTAAAAATATATTACAATTATAGATTGTATTACATATTTTTTTATCATAATTTAAAAGAAAATTTATATTACAATTCGATAATTTCGTTACAAGTGACAACGATGGTCGGCGTAAGCCCGATCTTCTGGTGCCTAAACAACGAGCATAAACACGACAATATAAATCGGTGTACGGCAAGCTGCTTAACTTCAAACGCTTTTGTACGGGGATCTTATGTGAGCTGGGTCGGCCAGTTCCGATCGGGCTTATTAATGATATTTAAAATGCCTGAATACGACTCGATGCTTTCTGTGGTAAAATAATAACATATTTGTTATAGCGGACGCTAATGTATTGAGTGATTTAGTACATTTAAAAGTTATTTACATGCATTAACATAATTTTTGAATATATGTTTTTCAATTTTAAAGCTTTTAAAATTAATGGGTAGGCTCGGCCTATCCTGCCTACCCCCAAAAGCCGTCACTGATCTTGATCCATTCTCAAGTAATTATGCCAATCTGACGGATCAAGTCGCAATCCTTCCAGTAAACTGACATGAGAGTACGTAGCTCGTTTTTGTAACCAAGCCTTTGTCCATTGCGACCTTGGGTTTCTTTTAATACGACACCGTTCTTTAACACAAACACACGCCACTGCCATTAATAAAAGATCGTTTTTTGACGTCATGTTCACTTTAACCGTACTTCTAAACTGAAAGCAAAAGTACTGGCGTATGTCAGCCTGGAGTGTACGGGTTTACCTTACTGCAAACATGCAGTATTTAATGGCGCATGTTTTCTTCTTAGTGGATGGGGACCTTAAAAGGTGTACAATTTATCAGATGTTTTCTTAACATTTGTTTGCAATAATTCTTTACCTTTCGTATGTGATCAGTTCGGTTTTATACCGTAGTATTTCTACGAATTGTTTATAGCTAAGGCCTCTCTGTTTTGAATATCAAATTCTCCTTCCTCTGACTTTTTTAAGGTACCTATTTGTCTAGTCCAGCATATAATTATAGTAATAACAAAAAGAACGATAGATCAATCCTTTTGATATCGTAGATAACTGAAATGAATAAATTTTCTCCTTCGAAAATCTGCTAAAATAGCTGAAAATTTATATAAGATCATACAGAACGAAATACTTCTCGAATTATGAGCTAAACGTTCCTATTACTCGTCAAGACGAGAAATGACTTTTGAAATTTTGCCCATCTGCGCAGAGAGCAGACGAAAAAAGTATATGGAGAAGGGGGTTTCAAAGTCATTCCTAGTTTTGGCAAAGTATACACTCAAGAGTATTTATTTTCAATAGTCACACAAGAAAGACTAGGTTTAATTACCTACGATGATCAATTAATACCTACGTCCCAAGTTATTTGTGAACTTTAACACGTTGCCTGCCGTAGAGGATTTTGTAATACTTTCCGTTCACGATATAGTCAACGAGACGGCATCACACTTACATTAAAATTCTCAGTCAAATAGACCTCGCTGGCGTGCTGAGCAATTTTTTTCTCGGTCACATAGACCGAGACGGCAGGCAACGTGTTAAAGCAAGAATTGTATATTTAATGACTATCTGCTAAGCAAGAATTGTATATTTAATGACTATCTGCTATTTTCAACGATTTTCTATGATTTTCAGTAATTTTAATGATTCACAATATCTCTCGATGATTCTCATTACACTCAATGATTTTCAATAATTGATGCTCAATGATTCTTAATTACGCTCAATGATTCCAAATGATTCTCAAATATTCTACATGATTCTCAAAGATTTTCAATGATTCTCAATAAATTTTAATGAATCTCAGTTTTTTAATGGGTCTCAGTAAGAATCATGCATTTCTCAGGTATATCTCATTTTAGGGAATGACTGAGGTGTAGGTATAATCATTTATTTAAATTTAAGTGACATCATCAAGCAAAACTATATTAATTCAACGTAATTTATTGATTATTTAAAATTTTTAGAATAAACTTAAAATGGTCCAAGAGAATTCTTATATTAAAGATTTTAACAATTTTGATAAACATTCCAATTGGATTTGATTATTTATAACAATTTTTTAAATCCTGCAAGTATTAACAAAATGAAACATTTACTCGTGTATTTCATTCCATGAGAGTAGTGAATTGCGATTGTATCCTTTCTAGATGTAGAAACTTAATTCTTTATCAAGAGGTTTAACGGAGGCGTAAGTTGTAGTTAGACAGTAAAATTGCTTACTATATGTTTAATACCTGATGTTAATATCTGCAAAGAACAAAACTGTTTGATAAAAACGTATGACATTCATGCGTTCTTCCTAAAACTATGCTCCTATCATAATTTTAGTATAAATCATCATTATTTTATTATCAAAGTATTTAAAAGGTCATCATATTGTACGACAATAGCTCCCTATCAAATTAAGTAAAATTTTCTGATATTTTGGTATAATTAATAGTAACTAATAAGTAGAATAATTTCAAAATTGGGGACTAAATTCTTTAGACATATGAATACGTCAAAAGAAGAACCTTGTTGCCAAATTGTTGTTGATATTTTATATCTGCTTATTATTTAATTGTTAAAAGTTTGTTTGATTGTTAAAACCAGGAGTACTAATAGGCTGTTGAAGCATGACAACGGCCCTCTTTCCTTCTTTGTATAATGATTACATAGAAATTAAACTTATATTGATGGATGGGAAAATACATGATGAAGTAGTTGGACGGTAGAAAAATTCTTTACATTTTGGAGAAAACTCTTTGGAACTGTCGCAATAACTAGTATTCACGCTAATGATTTATGGTTTAACCACAGCAAGAAAGTAATTTATTTGATCAAAATCTGAAAGATTTTCACGCCTATTAGAATGACACGCGGATGTTACAATTCATTTGGACGAGGATGATTAATTTGCGTAAACAGGAATCAATCCAACGCGTCCCAATGCTCTAGACCATTCCTTTCCTCCCTGTAACACTCTGATGGGCGATAGAGGGTCTCTATCAGCAAAATGCCTGTCGTGTGGAAGCGCTGTATACAAGAACTTCAATTAAACTGACTTATTCTTGAATCTAAATCTCTGCTCTAGGCTAGGCCCAGTTCGGAGACTTGGCGCTCAAGAATGTGAATCCATTTTGCCCGTTTTTGAGTTTTGTTAAGGTTTTTGGTGGCTTTCGCCTTTTTTGCTAGTAATATAAGGTTCTTGAACTCCTAAGTGGAGCATAGAGCTTCAGTGAAAACGCGCCATCGGGTTCTATTTTGCGCTAAGGCCTTCACCTCATTCCAAGACTTTCCTGGGCCTCTTATCTCGTCCATGATGGATCTTCTAAAAGTTTGTACTGGGCGACCTCTTTTTCTTTTCTCTTGGGGATTCCACCCTAGGGCAGTCTTTGCGATACTGGAACTATTTTTTCGGAGTGTGTGACCGATCCAAACCCACTTTCTGGACTTAATTTCATTTTGTACCCTCTTTTGTTCGGTCAGGTGTAGCAGATCTTCGTTTCTGATGGTGTTAGGTCTGAATATAAGAACAATTCTTCGTAGACATTTGTTAACAAAGACCTGCAGTTTGTCTGTAAGGGTGTTTGTCACTTTCCAGGTTTCGCATCTGTAGAGTAGAACAGACATGACATTTGATCGGAATATTCGGATCTTTGTCCTTGTAGTATACTCGCCATATTTCCAAGCAGGGTTGAGCGTGCTGAAAGCTTGTTGGCCTTTTCGTATCCTCATACGAATATCGTCTTCTGTACCTCCGTTTTCTGTTATGACACTTCCAAGATACGTAAAGTTTTACACATTTTCAATCTGCAAATTGTCGATAGTAAATAGCGTGATGTTTCTTGCATTTATTCTCATGGATTTACTAATATTGATTTTCAAACCTATTTTATTGGCTTCAGTGGAAAGTGTTTCCAATTGGTAAGCCAGATCTTGGAACCTTTGACCTAATAGACAGATATTGTCCGCGTATTCTAGATCGCTTAGTCTTTTTTGCTAGTAACTTTCATAATTTTTTTGTTGGTAGAAGCCGATTTTTTGGGTTTCTTGTATATTTTTTTTCGAAGGCTATCTGCAACATAAACATCAAATTAAAAAATTGCCAGTGCCTTGAATGCCGGGTTGTATTCTGGTAATAGAGCTACGATTATCTAGACTATTTGTTGGTCAAGATTGTGGTTTTCTAGCCCGGCAAATTTTGTTCTGTTTTTTGTTTCCATTGTGTCTATTACCCTTATTTGATTGAGTTCTCTGAACATGTATCGTTCAGTTAGGTATCTTGGCACATTTGCTGCTTCTCTGAGGCTGTTATTGGGAACTGCTCGTATCTTCTTTTTTATTGCTATTGCTTATGCATTCCCATGCAATATATGCATATGTAATTATTGGTATTATGATGCTGTTTATTAGTATCAATATTATTTGCATACGAAGTTTACTTCTTCTACCTGTTCTACTCTTCTTATTGAAGCTCTGGCCATTGTTTTTTTCGTACTGTTGCGTCTACATGAGGCATAAATGTCAATGCTCGATCCATTATGAATTCGAGGTTTTTCGCTTCTATTTCCATTCGATGGGATTGTTATGTACTGTTAGGTGTTCTTTAGGATTTTTCCTTTTTTTTTTAAAGAGAATTGTGTCTTCTAAGTTATTGGCTATTTTCCATTGGATATTCCATTTTTCTATGTTATCCAATGCCTATAGTTTGTTAACCACTATGGTTTAACCAAAATTGTCACTTCTTGATCTCCTAATCCAAAAAACTGATGTTGCGCGTTTTTTGAGTTGTAATAGAAAATGTAATTGTTGGTTTTAATCCACTATAACATTCCTGGTTTTCAACTTGGTTATTTGTTTCATTTAAGGTACTTTACTTCACCCATCAGATCTGTACTATTACTATTCTAAATACCTTTTGGTAAATTTTATGATTTTGCATTTCTGGGGGCTCTTTTAACTGCAGTCAGAGCTTGTTATATTCTATCTTTGACTGTGTTATTAAATTTACTGTGGATTAAGATGACCAGGTCATCTTCAAAGCCCAAGATCTGATGTCTGTCGTTATTGAGTCTAACTATCAGCTCATGAGCAGAATCAACAAGAAAGGAGATAAGAGCCTCTGGCTACTCTCTAGATAAAATACTTACGTAGTTCAATATTTTGGGTATAAAATTTTATCTGAATTTATTTCGGCATCGTCTTTTATGAGGAATTTCATTTCAGAAAAAGAAACCATTTGAATGCTTTTTGCTCTGGTTTCAATGTTTTAACGGTACACATTATCCGAGTTACCTTAACTTAATGTTTTTTAAATAATCTGAATGTTTCTCGATACTTCAAATCGCCACCCAACGTAACTATATCTAAAGAACATACTTTTGTAGATAGTTCTTCAGTACAAGTAACTGTACCTCAACCCTATCAAGAAATTTCTTGTACGCCATTGGAAGATCCAGAATACAGCGTCTCCATCATTTCTGAGAATTTAGTTTGCACAGTCTTAAAAGTACACTCCGATACCACGAATTCAATATTATTTTACCTGATCAGACATCTTAGAGAATTGGAATATTTCAGTTTGGCCTTATATCAAACGAAACTATAAAAGAATCTAACAAGCAGGTATACATTTCAGAATGAAAAATAAATAAATCAAAATATTTCTTTATAGGGATAATAAACAATGAATAGGGTTAACAAAAACTATGAAATTACCTATACCACAGAAACAGAAAAGTAGTTGGTATTAAAATGTTTTTATATTACATCTTTTTGGAAATTAATATTAGATTATTATCAGAAATAAACAATTTAGCAGCTACTGTTACGAATACTTGTCAGTTTTTTTGTTATTAATGCTATTGTGTGATTCATTTAAATTAAAAATGTGTAGTTTATATATTTCTAGTCCGAAAACCTTCGAACATTAGCTGGCTAAGAATACACCTGGCGATATAATATTGCAGCTGCCCTACACTTTGCATTTGAATATTTTTAATAATGATCACACACAAGTTAATATTTTTCTCTTATACATTGTATCTATAGATTCACAATTATCCCTTTTGTAGCGATAGAAAATGACTTCGGAATTATCGAACTACGTAGTGTCGATATGGTGCTCGCCTTAGGCGAAATTTGGAATGTGATATGGGATTGAATCTATAGATTTACTTTTAAACATATATTTTACCTTTAGACTGGCATTAGTCTGCTGTAAAATTGGTTTTCAACTACCTACAACTTACGTTACCTAAGAAGTAGATAACTAAAAATCGATGCTGTGAGAAAAACCGTATTTTTATGGTAGAAGTATTTTTGGAATAAAATTATTTTTCACATTTCACAGATCATTTTCACAATTATAAATAGGTAATTACATTGAAAAACTTACATATTTTATCTCGTAACTTATTTATATCTAATAATATGTCATGGAATATCGATGGAATGGCAGTAATCAGTCAGCCAGCTGCCCAACTTCTATGGTGAAAATAATAATGAATGAAACCTTTAACTAATTTTAATGACAAACAACTGTTTAAAATAAATATATAAAACGTTAATTCTGGTCCAGATGTAGATCGGACCTTTGTGAATATATAAAAATACAAGGCATTTGAACAACTTAATAATTAGTCTCTAAGATATTACAGACAACAGATTTTAAAAGGAACTTCTTGGTAGTATTTTGTCGACTAACTAAGAATTTCAGTAGCTAACACCAAGCAAACCCAATATTGCCACGTCGCCAACCAAGCAACACCACGTAACTAATTTTCTTCCACTGTACAAGAGAACAATAACAAAACAAATTATTTTTGTTGATGACGAATCCAGCAAACCAGCTATCATTAGTTTTGGTATGATATATGTGGTGTTATGGTTAAAAATGTTATACGTGGTGTTGCCTTATTGCGATTACAGTGAAATATTTTGAAGATTTTTTCAAATCTAAAATTATTCAGGTATATCGGGTGAGATTTGGCATAAAATGAAACAAAAAACTCATTTATCAAAAAATTGAGTAACGTGGTGTTGCTTGGTTGACGACGCAATACTAAGCTGAACAGAGATTCTAGATTCTCTAATCTAGATTCTAGACTACGGTCAGAGATTCACTGATTATAAAGAAGAGCAAAGAGGTCCAACTCAAGATGACATTTGGCGCACTTTGTAGCTACATCTAAACATTTTTATACTTTGGAACGCATGGTAAAGGAACATATGACCAGATATGAACAACATGCAATTCCGCAAGAATATGGAGAGGAGTATGCAGAAATTTTTATCAAGGCTACAGAACCAGAACCGGAGCCAACAGTGAGCGATGTTGATGATCAAGAATCAAAACATTTAGGAGACAATAAGAATAATACTATTAAATCAGACAAAAAAAGTGTTTCAAAATCTTCTAAAATTCTTAATAACAAACAAACTAATAATAACAATAATAATAAAGACAACTGTAATGACACTAAGACAGTCAAAAACGACAAAATAAAATCTGAGGAAATTAAAAAGTCTGTACGGAAAATGTTATCAGATAAAACACGTGCTCCAACAAAGAGTCCAAATAAAATTTGTCAGCTATTGACACTGTCAAAAGATCTGTGACAAATTCAGCTCAAATGAGACCAAAATCCAGTATGTGGCCTACGCCTACGGTAGATCGAAATGTTTACAAATGTTTACAAAATACAAAGTAGAAGTGGATGCTGCTATCAAAGCCAAAAAAACATTTATGGTTAAAGGTTCCTTTCCTGCGATTAGAAGAGCACTTCTTCGGAGAGGCTGGATCGAAAAACTTGGAACAACCCACAGAGATCTAAATACAGCAGATTTAAGAACATACGCTTCTAAAGCTATTGTCGAAATACTTGATTTAATCAGACAGAATCATCCAGAGTCGAATTTGTGTAAGCGTATCATTAAATCAAAGTTATTGATAAACCACCAAGTTGATTTGTATTGGGATTTTAATTATCATGGCTTTCGAGAATGTCCTGACAAAAATAAATTGACCCTGATCAACAAAATAAGATGGTATTCACCAACATACACAAGCAAACAAGGCATGCATATTTCATCTCAAAAGGCATTTTGGTTCAACATACCTGGCATAGCCGGTCTAAGGACTTTAATTTAACGGCCGCTATGTCGCTGTTCAAGTGGGTACAGATATTTATAGGTTAAGTTCAAACTTTCTTGAACATTTTTTATCACGTACATTTCTTCTTAACCGATCACCTCGGGACTGCATAACTGGCCGGTTGACGTTTTGGCCGATTAATCCGACATGTAATAACAATGTGTATAACATAATAATATGTTAATTTTATGAGAAAATACCTTCTTGGCATTTTTGAGAGAAAAATTCCTAAAAAGGTTTTTGAGGCCGTAAATGAAAATGGGCTATGGCGTCGAAGACACAACTTTGAACTACATTAGTTATACACCGATCTAGATATTGTGAAATTCGTTAAAGTGCAGAGACTTAGATGGGCTGGACACATTGCTAGGATGTCAGATCGCCAATACACGAAGATACATTTTCAAAACCAGAGGGTACAAGAAGTAAAGGACCACCACGAAAGATATAAATTTAGATTGGTAAAATGAAAGATATAAATATAAAGTTGCCAGGAATCAACAGCAGTGGCGACATCTTTGTGAGCAGGCCAAGATCTGCAACGGATTGTCGAGTCACTTATGATAATGATGATGAATTATCTGAGTATGTACATATGTACGTATTTATTTTGGAATGAAAAAAAGTCTGAGGTCAGGTTTACCCTATGTATGTAGTAGAACGGTAGTAGGTATATGTATAAAAATAAGTATTTTTGACATTTTTATGTACGTACTTCATATTGAATACCTAATTGCAGTACCATGTACACAAATATTAATTTAATTATTTTTAAAAAAAGGCTGTGATCTTCTTCTCTTTTTTAACCTACAGGCAAATTTCTGAATACCATACCCCTTCATTTTCTCATCACCAAATCGTTAAATGCTCTTGACTTGTTGCTGAATGTATTTTAATACAATGTGCATCGCATTTTTGGCCTTTTCAGGAGAAAGCCTTTTCTCCTCTTTCTAGTACCTTCAGTAGTTTCCTCGTTTTCCTCTTCTTCTTTGGTTCCTAAATATATGGTTTTATCATTATTCAAAAACTGATTTTCAAAGATCATATACTGCAGAATTTAAGAAACAAACTTGTGCCTGTATCGTCTTTTCAAGCTTTCGATCACTCCTTGGTTCATCGGTTGCACTAAGCTCATCATATGTCATATTAGGAGGAAAAAACTAATTTTATGTCAGGTATGAGGATGTGTTTTAATACTCAAACTGGTGTGATCGCTGACTGATCTTGAAATAAGTTTGAATTCATTCACGCTGATTTTTGTGACTTTTACTTGACCGAAAGGGAAGACGGATTCAAAATTTTGAATGACCATCGTTTAGCAGACTTGCCAATATCGAAAGAAGGAATTTTATGAGTCTCTATTGCATTCGAATAGAATACATAACAGAGGGTGCATGTAGTCCCGGGTTAAGGAAATAATTAGAAATTGGGCAGAAACAACCTAAACTGATCCTTCAACATAAGCCTATCTACTAACAATAACAACAGTGAATCCCAGCCGAATCGCCTCGCCATGCTGGTATATTTTATTGGACGGGAAAAACTTTTTTAAAATGACTAATATCTGGGGAAATTAAACTTGCCAAAATATGTTATTAAATTTAGTAAAAAATAGTTAGTAAAAAATTCCAACAATATTATGTGAATATTAAATGCACTACAACGACGAGATAAGATCGTGGTGACTGATTCCACATATAGGCCACCCTCAATACAGTTTGGTGAATTGGCGCTACCGCGCAATGATATTGCCTGGGGTTGCCTGACACTGTCATCTATTATAAACCACCTGTGCAGGTCCGGGGTTCCCCAACTTACAAGAAACAAATAAAATTATCAAGACTTCTTAGAAGTCATGAGAAATTGCCATTTGCCTGTAATTTTATAAGATAACTCTCATACTGTTAATAATGTCAAAAACAATTACTATGCCTGTCAGTGTCACCAATAGTGACTTTACAACGCTTCTCATTTGTTTCAAGCTTCTGTCATGTGTCATATAATCCATGTATAATAATAATATACGCCACTTGACAAATGCCTGAAACAAATAAGAAGCGTTGAAAACTGCTATTGCTAGATATAATATCGGTAACCTACACGACAGACAATACACATCGCAACACGGTTTGCATACATGTAGGAGAATGTTTATTAAAATGTGAAATATATAAATCTGGGGACTGGTTAATCCGTGGGCCGGTAAATGAGAAGCCGGTTTAGAGGAATTATACTGTATGTTTAAGTAAAGTGCAAAAACGAAGTGGTTATTTCGATACGGCTTGTACAGCTTAGCTTAAATATTAAAGGCAATAAGTAAATAAACATATATGGCAAATATCGAGCACAATTTTAATAACCAAATCTTGCCCAAGTACTTTCGCTTTCTACAGCATCTTCAGGGGCATTTCGTCAAATATAAAATATAACATTGACGAAATTTGACGATCAAATTATTAAAATTGTGCTCGATATTTCCGTTTAATTTTTCAAAGTCCATTTATTCGAGCATTCACTTTATATCAATAAGTAAATATTCTACGATAAAGATAGTAAAGAGCTCATGAGAGAAGTTAAACTGCTAACTAATACTTCTGGTATTAGGGTGTAATAATGTTTATTATTTATCCTGCTCTTGCGATACTGAGTGATACACCGTCTGTATCAACAAATAATTTATATTGGATAAAAGTATGTAAGTTTTTCCTGTAATAAATTATAATCATTAATAAAATTACTAGACATTCGTAGATACCCAAAGATCTGTCACCAGTGCATATTAAAAAATCTATGCTTAAATTGCTTCAACTTATCTACTAAATGAGGAATTTATCGAAATTGACAAAGTTTTACAAAGTAGAAGATATTACTATAGCTTTTTGGAACTTTTTATATATAAGTAGAAAGTAGGATAGCTTACCAGTAATGTATTGACTGTGATAGACTAATATTTTTCTTGTACGACACCGGAAAGAAAATGTTTGGATAAAAAATTACAGGTAAATATTAACCAAAGGCAAAACAAGGTGTTTTTATTATTTTTAAGTTTTTATACGTTTCAGAAAAACGTGAAAATTATTTCTGTTCATTAAACATGTATTCTCAATATTTTCTACTGATAAAACATACCTATCTGTCCATCTAAAACGTTCATGTTCATGTTTTTCTTCTCGAGAACTCTAGAACACTTGGCAAGTGGTATAAAGTGGCCAAACAACATAGATTATTTTTTATCCTTCATTTATAATGTATTATGCAGGGTGTTTGGACAGTTTTTCTTTTTCACATACCTGTGAACGATACCTATTAGTTTATACATATAATAGTACAGCTGTTGTCTAGCGCGGGCCGACGCGGCATGACGTCACAGTGTGCTTGAGCGTGTTGACGTCAGAGTGGGAGTTGAGGGGGGTGACCAGTATTCTAGAATAGGAGGCGGTTTGGCCACCCCCCTCCACTCCCACTCTGACGTCAACACGCTCAAGCCCACTGTGACGTCACGCGTCGGCCCGCGCTGGACAACAGCTGTACTATTATATTTTAATTATATACTTCATCTAATTTAGATAACGACTTACGTCATTATTTACGTCAGAGATCGAAGTTGACATAGTTGCCAAAGTATAAAAAAATCCTGACTCCATTTTAAATCAAATAGATTACATAATTATTGCAAAAGCATTACCATCTCTTTACAACGACTATTTAAATTCTTACGTGACATTTTTTAAATAAAACACACTAATTTTGTTCTAAAAAGAACAGATTTTATTAGATAGTTAAAAATATAAAACAAGAGATATTCACTTTAAAATTCAAAATAATGAAGTACAAAAAGTGTCAACATCGCAACTGTCAAATAAGTGTTACCAATTTATGCCAAAATTTTACCTTCGTTCGATTACAGTTACAGTGTGTTCCGAACAAATGTTCTTGATAAAAATGCTTTATAATGCATTTATACAAATTAAATGAAACATATTATTGTGTATTGCTTCAAGTTAACATTAATAGAAATTTTAAAATATGATTTCTACGCGTATATAATAAAATATGTCTAGTTGCTGTAATGTCAGTGTACTCGGTAAAGTGATTCTAAAAAAGAACACACCTACACCCTAAATATTTTGTTGGTATCATGTGACGTCACAGGCTATGACGCCGATGACGTGCATCGTTATATAAATTAGATGAAGTGTATGTATAAAATAATAGGTATCGTTCACAGGTATGTGAAAAAGAAAAACTGTCCAAACACCCTGCATAATACGTTATAAATGAAGGATAAAAAATTGAAAGAAATCATGATCGCTCTTATAAACGAAGTTAAAGGAGTACGAAAAGACTAGCAGATCTTTCAAGAAGAAATTCCCAATTAAAAAAAAGAAAATCGCACACGCTGGCAAGTGGCATAAAGAAGTATACTTTACTTATAAGTGTAATGTTTTGAATTGGGAGGTCCATA